ACCTTCTCAGATAATGCCACCAGCTATTTATGACTTTCTTTTGTTCTGTGACTAAAAGCTCATGTAACTGCTTCTACATTAGAATATATTATTCAGGGAAAACATTGCATCCATCTACCTAGGCCATAGTCATTCATATTTGATATATAATATGAACTTCCTATTATTATTACCTTTGTGGGGAGAAATAAGTTTTCTGTTACACTTTTTTTTTGGTTTTTCGAGACAGGGTTTCTCTGTGTAGCTTTGCGCCTTTCCTGGGACTCACTTGGTAGCCCAGGCTGGCCTCGAGCTCACAGAGATCCGCCTGCCTCTGCCTCCTGAGTGCTGGGATTAAAGGCGTGCACCACCACTGCTGGCATTCTGTTACACTTTTAAATCTATATGAAAACCTTTTCTTAATAAACTCTAACCTGCGGGCGGTGGTGGCGCACGCCTTTAATCCCAGCACTCGGGAGGCAGAGCCAGGCGGATCTCTGTGAGTTCGAGGCCAGCCTGGTCTACCAAGTGAGTCCCAGGAAAGGCACAAAGCTACATAGAGAAACCCTGTCTTGAAAAACAAAAACAAAGCAAAACAAAAACAAACAAACAAACAAAAAAACCCACCTCTAGTCTGTCTTCATACTGTCTTATCCTGAAATTCTTTTTCTGCAATGTAAATCAAGATCTCAGCTTCAACTGAGTAAAATCTCTGAAAGAACTCAGTCTGTACAGTCAGCTGCAAGGGACTGTCTCTTCCACAGCTGCAGACCGAGACACAGAGGATCAAAGGCATACTGTTCCAGAACATGGGATGGGTGCTGTCCTATGCTAATGAAACTAGCTCCAAAAGCTGAGCGCAGCTACATCAGCCACAGAGTTCTGTCTTCAGACCAATTCTCAGGACTCCTGTCAACATTCCCCATCCATTCAGAGAAAACCTCAGGCATGCTACAGAGTGACTAAAGAAACTCACTCACTGTCTAATCAGCATTCTGATTCTTTTTTTTGTTTTTTCGAGACAGGGTTTCTCTGTGTAGCTTTGGAGCCTGTCCTGGAAGTTGCTCTATAGATCATGCTGGCCTCAAACTCACAGAGATCCGCCTGTCTTTGCCTCCCGGGTGCTGGGATTAAAGGTGTGTGCCACCACTGCCCAGCTGCATTCTGATTCCTTAATTCACCAGTTTACCAATAGATATTTACTCAATACTGTGTTAGGCCCAGGGCAAAGCACTAAAAAAAGCATTGACAATTACTTTCACTAAACTTACAGTGTAGGAAGAAGGGGTAGAGAAGTGGGACACACACAAGCAAACAATCATAAAACAAAACAGCCAACGCAACCATTCAGATCTGCAGAGTAATGGCAGGAGGACACCGTATAGACTCGTCCCAAGGAAGTGGTCTACCATGTGGACAGAGGGCAGGTGTGGAAGGAAAGAATTCATTTACAAACCAGGATCAATGAATATTTGAATTTACTTAATACCGATAGTACCTTCTGTTCTATTCCTTCCCCTTCCTCTCTTGAGGTCTGCAACTCTCTATGTAGCTCTATGGAACTTGCTATGCAGATCCAACTGCCTCTGGCCATTATTTTTGACAAGTACAGAAATTGTCAAATAAAGGCCTTCCAAGATTGAGCTTTGGCCTCTTGGCACAATTTGTATTTGAAAGTAATTTAAACTAAGTTAACTTCACACTACTCTCACTTTAGTAGAGTGTAACTATCTTGGGAGGTTTTAGAAGAAATTTGTTCTCTCAAGTAGTGATAAAACCATGCATTTCTTCCTTATCTTTTTGTTTTTGGAAACGGGATCTCACTCTGTAGAGTTGGCTGGCCTGGAGCTCACTATGTAGACCAGGCTAGCATCCAACTCAGAGACCCTACTTTTGCCTCTGGAGCGCTAGACTTAAAAGTATGCACCCTCTCACCCACAGACCAGACATTTTCCCCATTGCTTTTAGGTTTCCCACTTAGAGTAAGGTAAAAAGTAAACAAGAAGGGCAAAATGAGGAAACAGTATTAGATAAATCGATAGATGACAAGTTTTTTAGCTTCCTTTTTTATATCTCTTGCTGGAGATTTAAATCAGAATTGGTTCTTGACGGTTAAAGGCACAGGAAAAAATACTACAGTTGGAAACACTTCATTTCAAGGATACAGGCACTTCTGGCCCAGTCTCACCTATATACAGGCCTTGGTGCTACTCCAGGGTCCAATTAAACCCAGAATTTAATTCATCCAGTTGAGTGTCAGTCTCCAACCCTAAAATTTGGCACAAGAAAAAGTGTTATGACAAAGCTCTTCAAACCTGCGGTTGCCTCTCAAACCATTTGCATCCTATAGGATTAGGATAGGACATGTCTTTTGGGCCTTCCCATTATGGAGGTCTAAGTATTTCACAGTGCACCCACTCTAGCATTCCAGTTTCCCCGAGCTTAAAATCCCTTCATCAACACTAAGCAAAAAGGGCTCAGGCATCTCCAGTTCCTTTTCAGTAGGCCATCATTAGATAAATGCTTCAGCCAGCCAGCCAGCCAGCCAGCCAAACTTTTGACACTTTTTAAAAACACTATGAGCTCTATATTAAACCCGGAATCTCCAGTAGTCGTATACTGGTGGACTCCCGCCTGACCGTGTCCTTTCACCAGTATCCTATACTCCTAAAGTCCGTTCCCACACATATTCCGTAGACTTCTTGAATGAACTAGCAAAGTCACCACGCTCTTCAGTGGTGTCGTGCACCTCCTCAAGGACCTCGGGGAGTCTACTTAGCCAAAAGTCTGATTACAGGTCTAGGGGTGAACTGGTGGGCCTGCAACTTGGCCCAAAACTTGGGGTGGAGCTCCTCCCAGGGCCCCGCCAACCCCAAGGCTCTCTCAGTAGCCTGAACCCGGCTCCCACCTGGAGGCCTCGCCTACGCCTCAGGCGGGCACAGGCCTGGGTCCCCGGCTGGAGCCCGGGTCACCCTGAGCCCGCAGAACCCACGCTCTTTGGCTACGACGGACCGGCCTTCCTCCTTGAGCGCCTGTGCACCGCTGCCGGCCGGCGGCTCTCAGCCAGGAGTTCGGCTGTCGCTGACCTCCCTCCCTCCCCGCTTCAAAGCCGCATCAGTGTGAGTCCTTACCCCGCTACTTGCGGGGTTCCGAAGGGAGCTTCGGGAGACACAGCCCGCAGCACTGCGCAGACTATGTCTGAGGGCGAAAGATGATTGGCGGGTAGGTGGGGACGAAGAGCAAAGGTAGAGGAGGAGCCGGGGCCAGGGGGCGGGGCGAATGCGCGCATGCGCAGCGCCCTGGTTTGGGGGGAGGGAGGGGTTGCGCAGAGCGCTCTGCTGACGCACGTCAAGGCTGAGCAGCCGTTGGCAGTACTGGTCTGCTCCTCAGATGCAGCTGAGTTTGAAGTATCCTGTTCCTCTCTGGCTTACATTTCCTACTTGACTTTGCCTCAAGCATTATCTGGATTTGCTCATTATCATCTGTGTCCCACGCTGGCCTTGAACTTGCAACGATTCTCCTGCCTCAGCCACCACACCTCGCTACTAGGCTATTTTTAAATGTTAATTGTTCTCAGTCAGCATGGGCTTTCTACTTTTTTATGTCACACCTGTAACTTTGATCTCCAGAACTGTAAGATAGAACAGTAACTTCTCTTTTCGCAAATACTACCTCTTGGCTCAGTTGACAGGCAAAAAGCCTGCGTTTTTCTAGGGCCAAGCCAAGTCCTGTCTCTTCTCTTGGGTGAATCTTTGCTCTCCCGCATTGCTGCAGCCCCAGTCTCTAGGTTGTCTGTAGGAGCGTGGTTTGTAATTGCCCACGCGAATTCCCTCGTCGCACTCACCTCGTGACTGCGGCAGTGTGCCAGACACTTCACTCAAGCTTGAGAGTGCTAGGACTTCATTTTCCTTTACTTATTTTGAGAGCTCCTTTAAATACTTTGTCGTCGTCCTCCCCCCCCCCCCACTCACCACTTGTCCTTTTATTACCCTATTCAGTTTTTTTTTTCTTAAAGACTTGAATTTGTGGCTTACAATATTAAGAATGAGGATTTCACGAAAGAGAGTAGGCTATAGATACTGAAGATGATTTCTTAGTGCTTTGTGAAAACGCTTGTTAGATATTTAACTTTTGGCATATTAATATTTTCTTTAGCAAAACTAACTTAACATACATCAGTTACACATTGTCAAAAATCCTACAATGCTGTGCAGGTTAGGTCACTCAGCAGAGAAAGGTGTTTTCTGTCAGATCCACAAGTTTGACTACCTCGGTTTGATCACCAGATAAAGGTGGAAGGAAAGAACAGATTCCAAAAAGCTGTCTTGCAACTTCACACGGATATGGCAGGTGTGCGCCCTCCCCTATCATACACACAATAATAATCATAGACACTAGAAGGAAATTGTTGAGGGTAATTTAAACGGTTGTTATAATGCTCTGAATTTTAGTGTTTTAAGTTTGTGTTGGTTAGTTTTATGTCAACTTGACACAAACTGGAATCATAAGAGAAGAGAACCTCAATCGAGAAAATGCCTCCATAAGATCTGGCTTTAAGGCATTTTTTTAATTAGTGATTAATGGGGGAAGGCCCAGCCCATTGTGGGTGTGGCCAACCCTGGGCTGGTGGTCCTGGGTTCTGTAAGAAAGCAGGCTGAGCAAGCCAGTAAGCAGCACCCCTCCCTGGCCTCTGTATCAGCTCCTGCCTCCAGGTTCCTGCCCTGTGTGAGTTCCTGCCGTGACACTTCCGTCAATGATGGACTGTGATCTGGAAGTGTAAGCCAAATAAACCTTTTATCCCCAACGTGCCTTTGGTCATTTTGTTTCATTCCAGCAGTAGTAACCCTGACTATGGCAAAGTCATTTATAGTGTTTGATGATTCTTAATCACCACACTGAGTACCCTGGGGTACATTCACAGCACGCAGTGTATGGGCTTTTCACTCTTAGCATTTCATTATTAAAAAGAATTACCATCCTGAGGTCCTTCTAAATTTAAGTAAAAAAAAAATTTTAAAAATCACTTTTTACTGTTAATAAAACCACTGCAAGCAAATGAAATTTTTTATTGCTTGAAACTTTGATAACTTCTAGTGTCAATAAGATACAAATGCTGAATACAATGAGAGCTATTTTTATTGTCTTTTATTTTCAACAATGATTACTTAAACTTAAAAAAAAAAAAACCCAACAACAACACGTTTATTAACTAATGGTTGGTGAAAAGCCAGACCTTCCCAGCCCACTTCATATTCTCTTTCAACCATTTCAGGGCAGAACAACGCTCCAAACTGTACACCTGCTCCTTGTTCATGTTGACAGTCATGTGCTTCATGAAAAGCTTGGGGTCTGATATACGAGCAGCCATGATCAATCTTTCTACTGCAGCCTGATAGTCATCCTTGCTTCGAGATTTGTTTTCTTCACATCTGGGTAAAATGAACACAAAAGCAGAAATCCTCAAAAGAAATGGTGTGGTTTCTGTAGGCAAGTCATTTGTGTTTATTGGCTCCAAACTACCATCGCATCTTTTAGCAGTGACTCTTTAGCTTTTTGGACCATAGCTTGCAGTATAAGAGGCATTATTTTATACTAGGACCCAGTAGCAATGGGTGTTTGAGAAACACTGATCTAGAACACAGCTAGTTACCTATATATTTGCATTTACAAAGTTAATAACTATAAATAATAAGCTGTATAAGTTAGTATTAAGTGCAATACATCTTAAATAATTAATAATCACATTAGTTTTCACTTGGTGTTAGTTATTTCTAGCTTCAAGCAAGTACTTAATGTGCAGCTAACATTTAGTAACAAACTGTAGGGCTGTTTGGTCTTCTTTGGTCCGGACTTGGGTACTTCATTAAGTGTTATAATTTTTTTCAAGCTCCATCTGCCATCAACTGTGATTATGTTTACTGACATAAAATTCTTAATTTATGGTAGCTTTTCTTCTGGAGAAAGGAAATCATTAAAAGTATTTAACATATGAGACATCATGTTTTTTTCTTGCTTCTTGTTTCTTGCTCTTGGAACCTTGGGAGTCAGTGAGCATTGAGTTCTGAGAACAGTTCTACCTAAATTAACACCAGCGTGGGCCACTGGATGACCTAAATAAGGCTTGCACTTCAAAAGAGGAAGGGGTATCCAAGTGCCTTCTGGGGCCTCCTAAATTAAATGAGGCACTTTCAAGTCTGATAGAATGAAACACTGAATAGGTGGTATATTCTCAATGTTTAAAAATGAACAAAATTTCATACAGGTTCCCACCCTAAGGCAGGGCTCAGCACACCAGCAAGACAAAACATATTGATCTTCATAAGACAAAGACCTAGGTGTGCCACCGGTCATGGACTAGGGCAACAACTACCCTCACATTAAACAACGAATACAGAGGCTGTGTGTGTGGGAAATGGGATTCAAGAAGAAAATCAAATTCTTTTAAGATAAAACCTAGACACCTCATGCTACACAGTGTACAGTGTCAAATGAAGGAAGCCCAACCCCTACTAAAAACAGAGCTGTTAGAACAAAGGCTAGTTTCAATGGGTTTTTTAGAAAGTGCAAGTAAAATGATTTCCTCTTGTTAAACAGGGGCTGTACAGCCGGGTGATGGCGGCACACGCCTTTGATCCCAACACTTGGGAGGCAGAAGCAGGCTGATCTCTGTGAGTTCAAGGCCAGCCTGGTCTGCAGTGAAACCTCGTCTCCAAACAAACAAACAAACAAACCAACTGGAGGCTATACCAAATGAGCCCTGTAACAAACTGAGAAAGCAGATTCAGCAGTTCTGAGTATGAGATGTTAGGGAACAACTGGACATGAGTCAATTGGATTTAGGGAAGTTTTGTTAGAGGTGCTGACTATTTCTTGTTCTGAATTTCAAGCATCTTTAAATAGTGAAGAAGCTTGAAAGACAAAGACAGTTTCTCCTTCTGGAGCAAAAGACAGCTTGCTGACAGCTTTAGGCAGTGTCTTCTAGAGAGAAAATGGAAAGCAGACTTTGGGTTCTTTAGGCTTGGCCTTGCCCTCCTGTCAGGGAACCTGCCACATGTTCAGGAGTCCATGTGGGCTATCAGTAGGACTTTAGGGTGATAAGCAGACCATCTGGCTGTTTGCTGTACCACAACAAGAAAACACCGTTTTAACACAGGAGTCTTGTGTCCTATGCTAGCACGCAGGGACCTGTGGCAGGCCAACTTGCAAATGGGTAAAATCTCAGACCTTCATGGTCCTTGCCTGATGGTCACAAAAGGCACTTGGCTTCCTCCCACCCTTCTCTCTCTTGTATCACTCACTCTGGGAGAAGCTGGCTCTCAAAAAGACTTTCTATTTTTAAAATACGTTTTTTATATTAAACTTTACATTTAAAAATTGAGATTCTACTGCTGAAAAACTGAAGATTTTCTCAGAGATAAGGTGTGTAAGTGTCCACACTGACATGGTATTTATGTCAGATTGTGTCATTCTGGATCTGTAAGGGATAAAGAAAAGATTCATAGCTAAAATTTTTAGATAAAGACCCTTTAAGGTGCCACACTTTTTAACACAAAAAAGGTTGGCACTTAAAGAAGAACTATATCATATGGCATGTATTAACATCTGCTTACTAGGTGTTAACTTCTTTGGCCTTTATTTTGGTCAAGAATCAAACTCCAGGTTCTCATGAATCTATACACTTTACCACTGAAGTTCATCCCCAGCCCCTTAACTTGTTTGTTTTAAGCTTCAAGTAGGTCTTGTTCTTTTTTAGTCTAAATGTTAGCCAAATTTTATTTATTTATATTATATATATATATATATATATATAATATAGTATAAATAAACATAACATGCACGTACTGAATTAAAGAGTAGGTGTGGGGCCACATCTATGTTCAGAATGCAGCTGGAGTTCTATTAACTCACCTTTTCAAAACGATCTGTAGCACTTGTGTGGAAGTTCCTGGGCTCTGAATACTAACAGCATTAGACACCAGAAATATTTCGATAGCTAAAAGCATTTCAATCTCGGATAAATAGGAGGGAACCAGTAGAAGTTTCCGGTATAAGTTTTCCTCTAATGGTGGGTAGCAACCCAGGGAAAGAGCACCTGAAAATTAAGCAATAGGTCACACGTCCCCAAACCTCAATAGGTAAGACATAAGACTTCTAAGTATCCACAGCTTGGCAGCTACTTACAGGTCAGGGTAACTTTTTACATTTGCAGATTTATTACACCTTTTATGACAGCAAACATATTGGTACATTAGATACTACTCTTTATGAGAACTCTGAAAAATGACCTTTGAGTTTTACTGTGACAAATACCCATTTTTTTTCAAGTCATAGTAATATATATGACATAATTTCAAAATAATTAGTAAGCAGCCAGGTGTGGCGGCACGCCTGTGATCTCAGCACTTCGGAGGCTGAAGCAGGACTGTGAGTTGGAGGCAATGCTATATACAGTGAGATTCTTTCAAACAAAAGAAAAACAAGAAGAAAAAAAACTCCTAACCAAACAGCTACTTAGGTTTTAATGGGATTAGGTCTACAAACAACCTGATACTTTTATGGTCACTGTCTACCCTAAATTATGAATACAAAACATGACTATAATGTGAGAGTGCCACTTGCTGTTAATACTTACGGTGGCAGTCTGAGTTTACTTCAAGGTACCATCACACCATGTGGCTATTACTGTTCCTACTCTGCCTGGCAAGTGCAGAGCACAAGATACGAAGTGCAGCTCCATCCTGTATATGGCCGCCACATTCCCAACTCCATGTTTCAAGAGAACAGATTTGACTTAACTTTAAACTGCTTGGCTGCTTATTAGAAATGATAGTTAACACTCTGAGGACACCCAATTGGACATGGACAATATTATATACTGTGGTGATATTTTATTTGTGCTGAAATTTATTTGTATGCTAATAAATAAAGTTTGCCTGGAGATCAGAGGTCATAGTCAGCCATAAGCAGAAGTCAGGTGGTGGTAGCATGTGCCCTTAATCTGATCACATGGCAGACAGAATCTCTGTGTGGTCAAAAATACAGCCAAGCATGGTGACACACGCCTTTAATCCAAGTACCAACCATAGAGACCTGGAGGTCTGTATAGACAGGCAGTGATGAGGAAGTCCTGTGGCTGGGCTTCAGAGCCAATGAGAAGGCAGAACAGGAAGGCAATAAAAGCACAGGTTAGACAGGAAGAAGCTCTCTGGGGAAGCGACAGCGAGGTGGTAAGCTAAGGCTAGTCGCTATTTCTCTGATCTCTTCGGCTATTACTGCTGTATTTGGCTCTGTGTTTCTTATTTAATAAGACTGTTTAGAAATTTGTCTACAATATACAGTTTATCAGAATCAAATTAAATCTGTACATAGATTTTGTTTAAAATATTTTTTTCCTTCAAGAAAGTAGTTCAGTGTAAGTAGGTGATAATGCTAATCTCTGAGAACTATATCTAAACATAATCCAAAGATGTTCTAGTAATATTTAAATATTTAAATTTTATTTAATTATTGTTATGTTTATGTATTTATGCACATGCATAAAACATGAGACCCTGTTAAAAAAAAATCAAAACCTAAAACCCCAAAACAAAACACTTATGCTTATTACCTATAATGCAACCTAATTATTTTCCCATTTCATTGGGAAGAGAAGTTCCTACTTGGTGAGGTGATTATAGCTGGAAGTTTGAAAACATGTCTAGCTCAGGGAGAGTAGTAAGGATATCTGTCACTCAAATACTTAAATTTCAATCCACTCAACGTATTTATTCCTGTGTTGTAAGATATGCCAAACTGTTTCCAGTTTCCTTTGCTTGCCCTCTATTGGAATTGATAACATGCTAAGAGAAAAATATGGTACTTGTAAACAAAGGACAAAAAAACAGGTTTTAAAAGTCAGCATAGATCAGACCACTGCCTCTGAATATGTACTATTATTTTTTTACATATTTAAAAATCTAGTTTTAAATATTATAGATGGATCCTGGATTAGAAGACAATAAAACCCAACATATTAATTGAAACATTGCAATGGAACTTACTTTTGTAGTGGGCCCTGGCTTTGAGCCACAAACAACTCCTTCCTAAGGAAGTGATTAGTCTCCTGAGAAAGGAAAAGTCAATAGGGATGCTTTTCGAAACCATGAACTCCGCTACAGAAGATGATATGACAAGACTGTTACTTTCTATACAGGCATCTAGAAGTTTATTAAAAAGAAGACTATACTGGGAAACCTCCACAGTTTCTGAAATGAAGAAAAAACAAAACAAAGCAATGATTCAATAAAATGAAAAATGATCAATGACATAAAGACCGATATTAATCTTCAGCTTTCTTCCCCCACAATCCCAGCCTTGCTTCCCATTACAGAAATCAGACCCACTGAAGTACAATCATCGTTCATACTCTCCAAGTTAGAAACAGAAAACCCTTTGGCACAAGCAAAACTGTTACTTCCTTTGTAATGAGAATGTAAAAAGAAGCTTGTCAAAGACTTTAGAAGTTGCAGTAGCTTCTCCACATTTGTTCCCCATATGAGGTTGAATCTGCAGTCTTGAAAAATTTCATGGTTCTTTTTGCACAGCTCAGACCTCAGCCTTTCATGACTCAAATATATTTGCTCCTAATGTTCACTCCAAAAAAAAAATGTTTTAATGTGTATCCTATTAGTAACTTCTAGGGGAAAGAAGTCACCTTGGAGATTTCCAACTCTGTTATTCCTTTTACTCAACTGGGTCAATGACCTACACTCTAGGTACATGTCATTGTAGGATCTTTAAGTGGTCCAGGCCTTATCAGGAAACGAATCCCTTTCCCTTTAGTATCATTCTAAACACCAAACTTATTATGTCACCCCCTCACTCTGTTCTACACATAAAGAAGGAAACTCCTTTAGTTTGTCATTTATGGATTTCCAGAATCTGGCACACACTGTCCACCTCTAAGCCTGCTTTGTTTCATCATCAACACAACTGTACATTAAAGGCATACTGCGTGGCAAAGAAAGTATCACTATGAGGAAGGCACTTCCTACCAATACTAGCTACAAACAGCATTTCTGAATCAATGGAAAATAAGGTTGAGAAGAGACAGTGAGACCTGGGGAAGGTCCTAAATCATCCTCTGCATCCTTTGTATCATCCTCTGAATTCTGCTCATAGACTCCCTCCTCTTATCTTGAAGCTTGAATTTTAACATTTAAGAGAACACATTTATTCCAAGATTACTAAGATGTATACTTAACAAGTACTCTTCACTATCTAAATGGAATAAATTAGGGTATGACGCATGCTCATGATGTATAGAGGCAAGGATGAGTAACAAGGATATGCTGACAGGAGCTGCTGACAACAACCCAGAGAAGCATCTTTAAAACCATACACTCAATTTACACAGAACATACTTTATAGAAATGACTTCATTAAAAAAATACTGGAATATAAAGCCTACCCAGACAGGTGGAGAATTGTTTCTTACTAGCTGCTAAGCACCAGACTGGCAAAAAATGAAGGTTGTGTGTGGTGATATCTTATTTGTGCACCCTAATAAAGCTTATCGGAGATCAGAGGAAAAAGCCAGCCACTATATTAAACAAAGAGGTCAGGCAGTGGTAGCACACGCCTTTAATCCTAGCATTCGGGAGGCAGAGAATCATCTGGATCTCTGTGAGTTCAAGGCCACACTGGGAACAGAGCCAGGCATGGTGGCACATGCCTTTAATCCCAGTACTAGTTAACCATAGAGGTTTGGAGGCCTGTACAGACAGATAGGAAGTGATGTAGCTGGTGGAGAGAGGAAGTGAGATGGCAGGGCACAGAAAGGATATAGGTGTTGAGTATACAGGAAGTGGCTCTCTCTTTAGCTGAGGATTTCCTAGGGTAAGAACGTGGCTGGCTTCTTTCTGCTTCTCTGATCTCTCTGTTTTCACCCCAATATCTGACTCTGGGTTTTTTTTTTTTTTATTAATAAGACCTTTTAGCAATTTGTCTTACAGTTGTGCTGGAGAGATGGTGTTAGGATTCTGCCACTCCAGGTGCATGACAGCACATGCACAGCTCAGTAGCTAAGCAAGGGGTCTTACGTCTTATGTAATCATTGCGCTGCCTGATTGCGCAAATATGTGCAGCACAGTCACGCAACCAGCACATGCATGGCATAGCTCCATAAGCCCACATGCGCATGTGCAGGGAAATCCTTAAAAAACCAGTCACAGACTCCTCTCTCTTCCGCTCTTTTCTCCACCCCCTCCTTGCACACATCTTTCACAGGCCTGGTCACGCTCTTCTGTGTCTCTGCCCAACCCCTCCTCCTAATAAAGCTCTGATACTGGGTTTTGTCGTGCCTCCTGACCTTTCTCGAATGGTAACAGTGCTGCATATTATTTAAAACCAACAGACGGCTTAGCAGTTAAGAGTACCCGCTGTTCCTATAGAGGACTTGGGTTCAGTTCCGAGCACCCACATCAGGCTGTTTACAAACTGGCTGTGACTTAAGTTCTAGGGAGAGCCAATGCCCTCTTCTAGCCTCTGTAGGCACCAGGCATGTATATGATACACACATATATATGTAGGCACTCACTCATACATAAAAAATAAAAATAAATAGACTTAAAAAAAAACATACCTTGAGAGTTCTGAAAGCCTGGTAGATTCCGGAAAACCTCAAATGTCTGTCGGTACAGATTCTTGCCCAGGAGTTGATGTGCAATGGCACAGAGCAAATTATGCCGGTTAAGCACATCCATTGTATCACAAGGCCAAAGTGGTGTGTTGATTATCCATTCCGATTCTCCAAGAAAAACACAAACACACCATGAAAATAACACTTCTCAGGATAATCACAATTGGGAAATAAATATCTTGGTTTGAAGGCACTTTTGCCTAGACATGTGAAAACAGGGACTATGAAGCCATGGTCATGATTTCCCATAGTGGCTGAAGCTGGACTACCTGGGTTTAATTTGGCATGTTATATTTCAAATGATTAATATACCTAATTACACTTTTTAATCTATAGACTTTAACTGTAATAGGTTCAGACTCAAGGTTTCTATGACAACTAGGTCTCATCAAGAACAAACTTTTGCCAACCAAGGCTAAGTTAAAGCCACTTTGTTGGCCTGGAGAGATGGCTCAGAGGTTAAGAACACTGGTTGTTCTTCCAGAGGTCCTGAGTTCAATTCCCAGCAACCACATGGTGGCTCACAACCATCTGTAATGAGATCTGGCGCCCTCTTCTGACCTGCAGGCATATGTGTAGGCAGAACACTGTATACATAATAAAATAAATCTTAAAAAATTAATACATAAAGCCACTTTGTTCTATCGGTTTATACCATAGTGACTTTTCCTATCCACATAGTCACTGAAGTTTAGACCAAGCTATCACCTCCAACTCAGATCAACTTAAGGTAATTAAACAGATAGTGTTCACAAGAAGAGTAACAGGTTATTATGCATTCATATATCAGAACTTACCCCTCAGTACCCAAATAGCACCATCTAGGCTCCCGCTTTTGATAAAAATTTCTGCTGCAACATTCACAATTTGACATCTTGGTGCTACTTTCTCAGGTCCTGTAAGTCCTTTTAAACTTGTAAAATGTATTTTTAGCTCATATAGTGTATCTAAGACCTTCCTTCCCTGGAATAAAAATAAAGAACACCAAGCATCATTGATTTACAGTATCAGAGAGACACAAAGTCAGTGCCAACATGCAGAAGACAGTTACCAGTTTGAATTTTTATGCTAGACTAGCAGTAGTCAAATTGCAACAAGACTTTGCCTAAGCTTTTCCTGATTGGTCACAAGGTAGAAAGGGGAAAACAAGAATTTGCCTCACACTAACCACCCCTCCCTGACTAACAAGCACCCTCTGTCGGCGCCTCTCCTTTGACTGACTTAATGCATTAGGGGTGGAGCTGGGCGGCTCACACCTATAGAAGCTCAGCACTTAGGAAGCTGAGGCAAGGAGATTGCTGACAGTTTAAGGCTGGTTTGGGTTTTAAAGCAAGGCCCATTTCAAAAACAACAACAACAACAACAACAACAACCAAAACAAGCAAAAAACCAAACCAAACTAAACCAAAAAGATTTCATTGTTTGGGCAAGGGTTCCATGTGTTACTATGGAAAATTATTATCATTTTACTCCTTTTAAAGTTTACCAACCTGAGATCTAAGAGAGTGGATGGAAATGAAAATAATTTGTCACCAAAATTAGATGAAATGTTAGAAAGCCAAAATTTTTAGCTGAAAATTAATTTTTCTACTCAGTAAACGAATTATGTGACAGATTTTACATGAAGATTATCATTGGTTTGGACATAAGAATTGGGTATGAGTTATTATTTTAAACTAGGGGCCAGCCTACTTTCCCTGTAAGCAGCTGAACAAGAAATACTTATTTATTTATTTTTTTCCCAAGACAGGGTTTCTTTGTGTAACAATCCTGGCTGTCCTGGAACTTATTTTGTAGGCCAGGCTGACCTCGAACTCAACAGAGATCTGCCTGCCTGCTGGGATTAAAGGTGTGCACCACCATTCCTGGCCAATAAATACTTTTAAAAAAAGGTTCATTTCATTTTACACTATCTCTAGGTTCCATGTTACATGGATGCAGATGTCTGAGGAAGCCAGGAAAGGGTGTCGGGTCGCCTGTAGCTGGAGTGACAGGAGGTCGTGAGCGCCTGATTTAGATGCTAGCAACTGAACTTGGGTCTTCTGCATGAGCAGTACCTGTTCTTAACCACTGAACTCTCTCTTTAGTGCCCTAATAATAACTACTTTTTAGTCTTTGAGGGCTGCATTTGGTGGCTGAAATTCTTTTGGTTATTGTTTTTAACTCAGAGCTCTTTAAAAATATAAAAGCAAGCAAACAAACAGAGCTGGAGAGATGGCTTGGAGGTTATGAGCACTGGCTGCTCTTACAAAAGACCTGTTCAGTGCCCACAACCTATATGGTGGCTCATAACCACCTATAACTCCAGTTCTAAGGATCTGGTGCCCTCTTTTAGACTCCATAGCACCAGGCATGCACATGGTACACATACATACACTCAGGCAAAATATTCATATACATTTTAAAAATGTAATAAATAAAGGGTTAGAGGTATAACTCAATGGTAAAGGTGCTCGCCTTCCATACAGAAGCCCCAAGTTTGTTCCCCCGCACTGTGTGTATAAAAGGCAAGGCTGAGAAGATGGCTTAATTGGCAAATGCTTGCTTGCCATGCAGTATAAGGCATGTCTCCATCCTCAGCACTTGTGTGAAAGCTGGGTAGGGTAGCACAAGTTTAGAACCCCAGTGCTGAGGAGGCAGGTATAGGAGGATCCCAGAAGTTTGTCTAACTGAAATGGAGAGCTCCAGCTTCACTAAGAAACCCTGTCTCAAAATATAAGGAAGGACAATAATAAAACAACCCATGCCTCTACATGTGTCAGCATGGGCAAGCATATATGTATGTATACACATGTACACGTACACACACACACACACACACACAGAAGTAAGTAATCTTTTAAACTAAGGAAATGTTAAAAACATTTTGAGCTTGTGGGCTATACAAAACAGGCTCTGGGCACAATGTGGCCCATGGGTCTTAGAACCTTAATATTCTGTATTCTTTTCAATCAGATTTTTATAATGATGTGAAAATACTTTTAATATGAATAAATAAATGTTTCTTTCAAGGAATAATTTTTAGCTTAATTTCAACAATTTTGCCTTAAAAAGGAATAGGCTTTAATTGGGCATAGTGTGCATGCTTATAAGTCACAGCACTCAGGAGGCTGAGGAAGTGGGGGGGGGGTGTCTCTGTGAGTTCAAGGCCAGCTTGGTCTACATAGTGAGTTCTAGGACAGTCAGGTACATAGGGAGAACCTGTCTCAAACAAACAAACAAACAAACAAACAAACAAAAAACAAACAAACAAAAAACCCAGAACAAAGCCTAAACAAAATAGAACAAACAAAAACCAAACCACCTTCTAGTGAGTAAGGCAATGCAAAAATCAACTCACTGAGCGCAACAATTAAATTTTTTGTTAAGATAGAAAAATTCACCAAGGTCTTAATGACCTAAGAAATAATAACCAAATAAATCAGAATAGTCTAAACTTTTAGTTAAATCTGCACATTGTCAAAAAGAGACTTTTGCTCTACAGTCCTCCAGTGTGCAGGCACTCATGTCCAAGAAAGGAACATTATGACTGGCCTTCCACCAGACGCCATAGCTGAGAGGGACCCATCCTGCCACAGAGTGAGCACTAATCTAGAAATCTACACTTTCTGTTCAACCAGTCTGGGTGTAAAAATTTCTTTTAGTCCATGAATGTCACACAAATACAAGTCAACCTGTACTTAAACGTTATTGCACAGATATCCAATTTTGGAATGACCAGAGTAACTTTAACAGTTAATTTAACAGTGATCATACTTAATTGTTGCATTTTGTTAATTCTACCCTTTGCATTACATTTTCATGCCCTCTACATGGACTTTATTGAGTCTACAATTCAATTGATCACTCAGGGAAATCTAAAGGCTGTAAATACAGTGTAGTTTTAAGGGCTGGTGAAGTAGCTCCATGGGTAAAGGCTCTGCTGACAAACCTCATGACCTGAGTTCAATCCCAGGGATTACATGATGGAAGAAGAGAAACAATTTTTGTAAACTGTCCTCTTGACTACAAATGCATGCCATGGTATACATATATACATGTATGCACATATACAAGTAAATAAGTGAAATAAAACAGAACAGTATGGTCTTGAGTCACCAGACCACCTGCATAATGGACTCAGTTAAGAAAGTTAAACATCGGTGGCACATGATGTCTCAGCGTATTCAAGAGGGTGATTTGTAAAGAGTTTTGATGATCATGAGCATCTTGGATGCATCTTAAGAAGGGTGTTTTGAGGCTGAGCATGGGAGCACACACCTTTTATCCCAGCCTTCAGGAGGCAGAGGCAGAGTTCAAGATCAGCCTGGTCTATATACCGAATTCTAGGACAGCTAGGACTACATAGAGAGACTATGTCTCAATGAATGAATAAATAAATAGAAAAGGAAGGTACGTTGAGCGCTTTCAGGATTATAAAGACAACTATGTAGTTGTCAAAGTAAATTATGAGTTGAAAACTTAAATAATTATATTTTAGCACAGCCTCCTATGTGTTGCCTATAATTAGATTCTAAAAAAGTAGCTGGTGTCCCATCACTCCTGCTCAGCATTTGGAAACAAATGTGAAAACTAAGAACTCACGAAGTAGTCTAAGGTAACATTCTGTGTGCCTCAAGTGACTGTGAGAAAATTTCTGATTTGAAGGATTACTTCATATTCTGCTCCTAATTTTTAAACTAAGACTCTCTGCACTAAATCAAACCAACATACAATGAAATACCTTGGACCACAGCAGCAGTCTGTGATAGAAGTACACAGCACTTATTCCGATCCTCCCCAACAAAGTCTTGTCCACCTCACTGAACTGTGGATCTTTGCTAACTGAAACATAAAGCAGACATGGAAAGAAATGAGACAGTAACTTAAGATGACTCAGAATTACTGAAATCACTTCAAAGACCTAGTGTTGGCAAACTACCCCACAAGCTAAATTCAGCCTTAAAGATAATAGTGGGTTTTTGTTGTTGTTGTTTTGTTTTTTTGAGACAGGGTCTCTCTACAGCCCTGACTGTCCTGAAGCTCACTCTGTAGACCAGGCTGGTGTTGAAGTCAACAGAGATCCTCTTGCCTCTGCTTTCTAGTGCTGAGATTAAAGGTGTGTGCCAACATGCTCAGCCCAATAGTGGATTTATTTTGAAAGAATTGTTTAAAAATTGAAACTATATGGGTTGCATGTACAGCCTAGGAGAGTTACTCTCTGACCTTTTACAGAAAAAGTTTGTCACCCCCTGACAGAGGCCACCGTAGCAACATCTCAACATCTCAAGCCCATGTAGTTGCTCACTTCTGTAATCCTAGCGCTCGGGAGGCAGAGGTAGAAAGATTACAAATGTAAGGCCAATTCAGGCTGCATAGGGAGATATTATCTCAAGGGAATGTATTTTTAAAGGCTATACAATAGTTTTTAATTTGTAGATAGTACAAACATCAGTGTTATTAAAAAAAAAAACTGGGTGCTCCTATATCGCTTGTAATAATTTTATTAACCTACATGAAAAGAAAATACACTAATGTTCTATGAAATCTTTGATACTAAAACCCAGTTCTTGCCCTTATGAATATAAACTAACATTAATAGGTAGTTGGAAAAATCTACAGATTTCAGCCTGTCTGAACCTTGCAACACTGGCTAAGCCCCTGTATGAGAAGAACCTTGTCTTCCATTTAAGAACCATAGAGTTCTCAAAACAAAACAGTAACACTTTACCTGTTTCAGCAAATTCACAAAAAGGAACACCTGGCCTTTCTTCTTTATTATCTTTTGTGAGCGTTTCAGCAACACAAGCACAGAATCTCTGGAAATCTGCAAATTCTTCACAGCCCATTTTTATGCAAATGTACAGGTTTCCCAATTTGGTCCAGTCACCTTTTTCTTTACAAGTCTATTAAAATTGTTAAAAATGGAAGGAAGGAAAGAAGTCAGGAAGGAAAGAAGTCAGGAAGGAAGGAAGGAAGGAAGGAGGGGAGAGGAGGGGAGGGAAGGAGGGAGGGAGGGAGGGAGGGAGAGAAGAAGGGGAAGAGGAAGAGGGGAAAAAAAAGTAAAAATTCTACCATCTCTGCAAGCACATGCTATCAGCTAGGCACCTGAAGATACACAGAAATCTGTATAACTAAGCCTGCGAACTGAAAACCTGATAAGCAGCATTCAGTAACACAACACTGAAGTTCCTCTTTTCTTACTATAGCAGAGTCTGTTAATTGCAGACAGCACTGAACATACTGTAACTATTCAGTTACTCAAATGCTCCGGGACTTGACAGGACAGAACTTCATGAGAACCACCGTCACCAAGGTGAATGAGCATCTCTGTGGCAGTGCGTCCCTTCCTTTGCTGCTTTTAGAGGGAGCACATTATTACCATCATTTGGTCATTTAAGATTTGGGGCCCACAAAGGAAATTTCAGTAAACTCACTGTCTCCTATTTTCTGCCAAAACTAAGAAAAGCTTTGTGTGGCAGTGCAAAGGTTGTTTCAAGGTCACATCATGCTACATCAACAATGAGAGGGCACATGATGGGTAGGAAGAGTAGAGCCATCTTTAAGACCCCCCTTTATGTGTATGTCTATGTGTGGGTATACACACATGCATGCTGGTGCCTTTGGAGGTCTGGAGAAGGGTCTGTCCATGGAGCTTAAGTTACAGGTAGTTGTGAGCCACCTGACCTGGGTGGTGGAGGTCCACGGAGCCACTTCTCTCATCCCTCCCTCTTTCTTATTTCAAAGGCCACGAGAGTGCACTGTGGTCCTCCTCTTGTCAGTTCAGAACCATAGCCACCCGCACTGCACTAGAGCCACACATCTCCTAAGCTTTAGATGAATACAAGTTAACCGGGAAATGGGAGTTACCAACAGGATTAATTTAAAATAATTCACAACCCTGGATTTACTTTCTATGTATGTGTGTGTGTGTGTGGGGGGGGGGAGGTAGTGGCCTTAGAACCCAGGGCTCTGTACACACTAGGCAAATGATCTCCTGCCAAGCTCCATCTTCAGCCTACAGCCCTAGAAATTCAGATGTTAGCTTTTCAAAATATTAATCTTTAAAAATATAACTACTAGACTTCTCTTAGCATTTTCTCTACCAGTGATGTTTCTAAAGCTCTTCCTCATTATTCAAATACTTTGTTACTGGTTTTTAGAGCCCAGCAATGTCTTTGAAGATAAATGTCATACCTCCACTTCACTCAAGGCTGAGTCTAAATCACACTTCCAGTTCTTTTTCAGTTGCCTCACTCGTAACCTTCAATGACAGAAGAGAGTTGATTATGCGTATTTCACTCCTAAGTCACCAGTGTTCCTGTCTGTTCTATAGTTTAAATATATACAAGGCCTGAGAAAACCTAATGCACAGAAGACACCCTAAACATTACTTACAGCTGAATTCTTTTAAAAAAACATTTATTTATTTTGTATGCTTAGTCTATGGGTGTATTTTATGTGGGTGTGCCTACCCTACAGCACACATGTGACGTCAGAGGACAGCTTGCAGCAGTCAGTTTCTCCTTCGACTGTGCATTCTGGATACTGAGCTCAGCTCATCAAGCTTGGTGGCCAGTGCTGAGCCAACTTGTTTGCCCCAGCTCCTGATTTTCTGGCTTTAGCCTTCTAAGTATTACAAAATATCTAAGTAATATAGTCTACTGGTATTATAAATATGTGTCACCATGTCCAGCTAGAATGAATTATTTTTCTCTCTATAAATATCATAGCTTAGAATTCAATTAAACCAATAGACGCATTTAAGGAGAATTGATACCTTTTTTTGAGTCTCTCAATTAATAAAAATAGTATGCCTCTTTATTTAATTTCTTTCAACATGTCATGGCTTCCAGTATACAAGTCGAGCATGTTCTGTAAGCTTTTACCTAGCATTTAGTTTTCTGAGCTATTGTCAACAGTGCTGCTTTAGGTTTTGGTTCCTAGGTTCACTGCTGTTGTGTAGGAACATGGCTGATCTGTGGGCTGGCCTTTATTCTGCAGCTTTGCTGTACTCATTCATTAGAGCTGTTTTTGGTAGGTTCTTTGTCACACAGGTTTGGAGTTCATGTCACCTATAAGTACAGGGCATTATTTTACTTCCAATCTGTACACCTTTAATTTTCACTTTTTATTACACTGGCTAGAAGGTGTGGGCAAATGATCTTGATGGAAGTATGGGCATTGTCTTGCTTTGCTTTCAATCTTGAAGAAAAACCTTCAGTCTTTATTCAAGTATGTCTGTTGGTTTGTTACAGCACTCTTTACTAAGATAAAGAATTGTCCTTCATTTCTAATCTGTTGAGGGTTTTTACATTTAACATCATGAAAGATACTGGTTTATAGCTCTTAAATTAAAAAAATTTATGTGTGTTCCTGGTTTGTCTATATGTATGTGCACCATGTGAGTGTCTGGCGCCCTTGGAGGCCAGAAGAGGGAATCAGATCCCCTAGAACTAGAGTTACAGATGGTTGTGAGCCAACATTCAGGTGCTGGGAATCAAACCTGGGTCTTTTGGAAGAACAGCCAGTGCTCTTCACTACTGAGGCACTGCTCTGGATCAACAGCTCTTCTTTTTCTGTTTTTTTGTAGACAGGGTCTCATGTAACCCAGGCTGACCTCAACCTTGCTATGCAGCCAATGTTAGACTTGAATTTCTGATCGTCCTGCCTTTGTCTTCCAAGTGCCTGGTTACAGGTCTTGAGGCACCACACCTGGCATCTCTTGATTTCTTGTATCCATTTTAGTTTTTAATTTTTACTTTTTGAGACAGGGTCTCACTATGTAGCCTTGGCTGTTCTGGAACTCATTATACAGGTCACACTGGCTTCAAACTCACAGAGGTCCATCTGCCTTTGCTTCCTGAGTGATGGGATTAAAGGTATGTGCCACTATGATGGGCCCATTTTGTTTTTTGTATAAGGGTAATACCTGACTTAACTTGATAAGCTAAGCATAGTGGCACATCCTACCAATTGGGCGATAGAGGCAGGATTAGGAATTCAGGCCTAGCACTGACTACATATGAGATATGGGTGCAAACAAAACAAATCAACCACAAAAAGAAAAAAAAAGTCCAATAAATATTATTCTCTCCTTTTCTATTTTCTGTAATTATAAGTAAATTTACTCAGTCTCATCTTTTAAAAATGAGTATACTTCTCAAGAAAAAACTATCTGGCCCTTGAATGCCTTTTTTTTTTTTTTTAGAAGTTTTTAAATTGTGGACTAGATTTTTTCCTATAATTTATACAACTATTTAGATCTAGAAATCATTCCGTTTCATCTTCATTGCTGAGTTCATACACATTGGATATTCACAGCAATTTTTTTTCAGTGGTGGGAGGATCTGCACTGACCCCTTCATTCCTGATATTTACAATTTGTGTCTATGCCTTTTTCTTTTAAACAACTGTGTGTGGCGGGTGAGAGGTGGTGCGCAGAGATCAACCTTAGGTGTTATTCCTCAGGCTCTGTCCTGCTAGGGAGCAGAGGAAGCCCACAGTCTCAGACCCATGGAGGAATGGCAAAGCCTTTTCCTCAGGGCAAGGTTCAGAGGGAAATGGCAAAACCTTCCCTTCTTGTCCATGTGTGGATGCTGGTAGTGTGTGCAGAAAATGTCTACCATAGCTTTCTCCCCTTGGATGTTTACACCTGAAGACTTCTTACAGCGACTGCTCCTACTGAGATTAGTTAAGCCTGCCTCCTTGATCCAGCTGTGTGCCATAAACCCTGCCTCCTTGTTAATCTGTGTATAATAACCTATCTTCTTGTTAAGATGTATATAAGAACACTATATAATAAATATGCTGAGTTTTTGGTATGCTGAGGTTTCTTTAGCAAAGAGCCCAGACCACTGATCCAAGATATTTCTGTCTGTCTGTCTGTCTGTCTGTCTGTCTTTTCTTCATTCTCTTACCACCCAGTCATGTTCAAGTTCCTGAGGCCAGCAAGGGCACAGCACAACCCACCTTGGTTTTTGACATAAGGTCTCTCACTAAACCCAGAACTCACTAAATAAGCAAGGCTAGCTATTCAGCTGACCCCAGGGATTACCTGTCTTTGTCTCCCCAGCACTGGGATTACAAGTATCTATGACCAGCTTTTATATAAACGTTAGAGATTGAATGCAAGTCCTCACACTCATGTGGCAAGTACTTTACTGTCTCTCCAACCCCAACAACATTTGCTTTCCCTTTTCTCAATATAGATATACTGCAGTAGTAGCTGTTTGCTTTTTACATGGCTAGAGATGGAACCTAGGACCCTGTACATGGCAGGCAAGTGCTCTCCCAAGGAGGGATACCCCAATCCTATGGCAGTATACTCAGAGAGTAAGTAAGAGGTTGGGGCCTCATAAACTGAGTAGACATAGGCAATGAGGGAGAAGGGAGAGCACCAAGCTAACAGGAAGTGAGCCAGGGAGGAAAAAAAAACTGCATGCACATTAAAGTGTATTAAGTGCAATTAAGTATGCAGTAAAACATGAGCTAAGAGAAGCTCCTTTGCCCTTCGTGGACACTAAGGTTAAATGAGGAACCAAGTGGAGGTCGACAAAGGTCAGCTGTGGACAGAAGCAGGAAGGGGCTTGTGACGGGACAAGCTCACTCCTGAGACAGGAGTATTGAAAAGTGCTCTGCCTTCACCTCTCTGGGTCCCCCCCAAGATACAGACCTGATCAGGCTCCCATCTTACCTGGATTTGGCTTCCAGAACTGCAGCTATGTCTTGTTGGGATGCCTGTGTTTGGTACAAAAGCTTGACAATATAGTTCAAATGCTCTGAGTCAGGCACCATCCCAGCATCAATGAACTGCAGGAGAAACAGTCATTGTTCTTGTAAAATGTGAAATAATTGGTAAGTCAATGTGAGAAATAACCAAGACAGTGACAGACGGAGTAAAACATGGGGACAGGGGAATCAAAACTTATTAGCAA